TCATTTCGCTAACTTGATCATTTTTCTGTAGCAGCTTACTATCTTCTTGTCTAATTCATAATATTCTTCCATTTTACTCATTCGCTTCAAATCCAGGTCGATAAAATGCACCTAATACAAGTTAAACTGCAGTTAAAATAAGATATAAAATGCAATGAGCACTGCAGCTGTTATTTTGTTGTATAAATAAGAAAACACAGTAATTAAGAAAGAAATTATATCAAATACTTTCATATCCATAGCTAAAGGAGACAATAAATCAGACTTATTTAAATTGGAGTATCCATGAAATCATGATACTGTGAGTAATACTAAGAAACTTGTTGACAAGTTGAAGCACGTGAAAGGAAAAAGGAGAGGGGGTGTGTCAGCCTAAAAATTTTAGGCCAATTTGAAAGTTGGAAAAGCTGCTTTTGGTTTCATTGCTTCTTCAAACCATAAATCACAATTATCTGTTCGTGATTCAGTAAAGCATTACAATCATTTTCTTACTACTTTCCCTTCTCTGTTTTCTCAGCTCTCAGCTTCCTATAATCTTTTACTCTGTTATTAGGCGCATAACGCCTTTTCTATTTTGAAACTGTATCAATAAGAAATTATGATATATACCTTTTGCAATGATCTATATCAAAGTTTTTTTTTTATACTGAAGTACAGATCACTATATTTTACCATTTTCATCAAACAATTTTGAGTGACCTTTCACAGCAGCTTTTTCAACAGCACCTAAAGGATAGTAGTGGCTTCGCAAATCAACTTCATTATTGGAAAATGCATTCTAAATCTACCCCCCACAGAAGTGGAACCATATTAATCATCCTATGCACTGCCTACCATTGCAAAATTTTAAACAAAATTTAAAAATGCAAAGCACTGCCTACCAATGCAAAAATTTAAACAAAATTTAAAAATGCAAAACACTGCCTACCTTGAAATCAAATGTTTGCTTAGTTGACTCAAGATATACGTTACTCCATACGGATCCCAAATTCACCTCTTTGCTTGGTCTAAAACATATCATCAGACTGCAGTCTTTTGAAGTTGCTGCTATCAAGTAGTCCTTTACAATTCTCAAGCTTTCATCCAACGAAGCTGAATGCAAAGGGGTATATGTTTTCATTTGATCTTCATTCAACTCCGTGCACACCATGCACTGTTGACGAGTAATATCATAATAAGCATGTATAGCTCCTTCTATGTCAACATCATCAAGCTTTTGAACCTCCAAGAGCCGATCAAGGGCTCCTGATTTATGGGCAGCTTCGGCAACAAGAGTGAGGAAGTTCTCGGTACATAAACCATCATCAGCTTGAATGATGGACTTAAGTGCAGTTTCAAAGGCTTTTGCAATACTCAAATTTGTATCTTCTGCACCACCTCCTAGTCCGCCAAATATGATAGACCCATTCATAAATACACGGAAATTGTTTTGAGGCGTAGTAAAGAGATCCTTGATAGCTTTATGAATTCTTTCCTTAGATCCAGAGAACAGATCAAGTGGATTGTATTCACTTGGCAGTGATATCTGCAAAGATAATGGAAAAGTATAAATCTTAAATTCAAGGGTTAAAACGGATAGTGTATATTGAAGTGAAAATGTAATAAGTTCGATGAACAGAACAGAACAGAAGGATGGATTGTAAGGCTACATGATATGACAGCAAGAAAAAGTATGTACTATGTAGAAATGGGACCACCATCAAGTTAAATTTTGTGGTCAGTACCTCTCCTTGATTCAATTTCAGGGCTTGGTGCATTTCAAAGCGAGTTACCCTCTTTTTGATAGCAGTTTCTTCAGATACAAATCTTGAAACAGGAAGAAATCCACATTTGGGCTGCTTGTTAAAAATAATAGTTAAGATGTTACAAGCAAGCAAACAAGAGGGCATGTGGAAACAAGTTTTAAAATTTCAAAGCTTAAAGTAGGTCACTGTCTTTATTAGATATGTAAATATAGAAAGATTATTATTAGTATTGATTGCAAATGATTATTAGAATCATAACCACATAATTGTATTGTGTATATAAATGACTAACAGATGCCTAAACTAAACTCTCTTACATGGTATCACTCTTAGTTTGTTCCCAAACTCTAAAACCAGCCGTCAACCTTCTTTCTTCCTATCTTTCATTTTTTTTTCTCTTTGACCATCCCAAAACAGCCATGACTACCACTACTAATTCCTCCAACAACAACTCTTCCTCACACTTCACCGGTCATACCGACCCTCCTCCTCCACCTCTCACTCCTACGCCGACTCACCCTGCTCTCACTGTCCCAAATATTACTAAGTGTTGCTTTATCTAAATCATGGTGTCTTCATCAATTAGATGTTAAAAATGCTTTCTTGCATGGGAATCTTCATAAAACAGTATACATGCATCAACCTCCTGGATTTCGTAATTCTCAATTTCCTGATCATGTCTGTTTATTGAAGAAATCTCTATATAGTCTCAAACAAGCACCTCGCGTCTGGTACTAGCGCTTTACTGATTATGTAGTTACAATGGGTTTCTCTCATAGTATTTCGGACCACTCTCTTTTTATATATCATCATAGCAATGACATAGCTTATATTCTTCTGTATGTGGATGACATTATTCTTGTTGTATCATTTTGAATATTGGTTATTAGAGATAGAGAGTATTAATGCATGACATTATTCTTGTTGCATCATTTTGAATATTGGTTATTAGAGAGTATTAATGTATGACATTTTGAGAACATACCTTTATCTCAACAGATATGCAGGGACTAGATTCTGGATTACCTGAAAAGAAACAGGGAGCTTAAAACAGAACTTTCAAATGTTTTGCAGATGCGTTATGCAGTTTACTAGATGTGAGAGGGATTCAAGAGGCAAATTAACTCACGTGTTTACTACATATTAGAAGGAGCGGTATCAAAAATGAAAGACATGGGGGGCATAACTTAGGGCTTTCTAGCTGGAGAAAATTCTTGATAGAAAGCTACTATGACTGATAGCATGTTACATTCCGGCCTAAAGTAATTTTTGCAACTGCATACAATACTTTTTCTCTCACTAAATGTTTGTGAAAAATTACCTATGGTGATTTTTTTGGATTCCAGCTCAATGGAGGTAAAATAATCCAATTGATCATTCTGTCCTGTAGATAAGATTACAACTACCTTCTATCACTTCTCAAGAGGGATGATTTTTTTTTTTGAAAACTTGATATCCAGCCCTAGGACAGACTCAATAGGGATGATTTCTACACAAGGTAGGGTACTAATATATGTCAACTAAAAGAAAGTAAAATAGGGAGGAAAGCAACCGCACATTACACAACTATATAGGCACATTCAGGGAATTATTTGAACTGAAGCAGAAATCCATTTAAAGGTTCAGTCTTTCTTTCAAGTTTCAACAAACGCAGAGTTTCAAGGAACCAGGATTCAAAACCCACTGTGTGTGAAAATTCAAGAAAAGCTAAGCAAGTCCAGAAAAAGACGTGTCAATACCATGGTCAAAGAGTGAATGATCTGACATGACAAGCACATAATCACAACGCATGTCGACCTGGGCAGTATCAACTCTCCAAGCAGGACGTTGACGAATAACATTCTTTTCAACCGATTCAAAAAATCCTCTCGAGACTTGGACATGCATCTATCAAGAAATTAAAAGGGTAGGTGGGAATCAGATAAAAACATAAAGCAAAAGGTTGTGCATTGATGACTGAACAATTCAAGAATGATTATAAATAACAAAGATACTAAGCTAAAACCAGTAAAGAAAATGGGCGATTGTAACCGAATACATACACCAGCATCAACAAATTTGGAACCAAGCAACCGCTTCATAACATGAAGAACAAATAGTTGGCTTGCAATTTCGTTGTCAGAAGAAGAAATGCCTTCGTCAACATCTTTCCAGAGATACCGTTCATGAGCCGTCAAAGCAGAAGGGCTGGTTGAACTCTCTGTCGGTGGATCACTCCTTGAAGCTTTCCGTATACGCATCACTTTCCCAATCTGAAAAAACAACACACAATTCAGATTCCACGCGATTAATCAAGAAAGACAAAGATGAAGAAGAACGCACAAATGTAGGAGATGATCCAATGTAAGAGAGAACAAGATTAGCAGCTCCTTCGCCTCTGTAAACCCAATCATCAGCCTCCTTCTCCTTTAGAATCACCTCCATCCAACAAATTTAACCTGAAAATGTGAATGGTGATCGTTGAAGCATTTCGTCGAACAGCAACAAGACACTAGAAATGAATTGAAGAAAAAGTTGAAAATACCTAGAACTGAAATGCAATGGGTATTCTAGTGTATGAATTCAGTGCAGTAATTGTGATGTGATGTGGTTCTCAAAATCTCAAAGTTTTCGTTCCAATTTTCTCAATCAAGAATCAAGATGCAATAAGAACAGCTTGGAAAATATTTCAAACAATTCTCATTTTGACATGGACCCTTCACCATGCACATGAAAATTTGTTTTTTACTTAAAAAAAAGTTCTTACATCAATTAAAATTTTAATTCTTAATTTAATTGTGAAAAATATTTAATGTACTCTATCAAATAACTTGAGGAGGCTCTTAAATAAATATTAGATTGGTTACTTTTAATGATAAAACATATCATTTAATAAAATATTTTTTTCTTTTTTTTAAGCGAGGAATTCAATAACAGAGTATTAGGGGTACTCAAATCCGATTAAAAAAAAAACTTAAAGGGTACACAGAGAAAGATTAATCGTCAATTGAAACTTAATTAAGAAAATGCAAAGAATATTTGCAAAATTCATAAAAATTACAATTGGGAATATTAATATCACCTATTAGAGACCATCTCCAAGTCAAGGATTTGATGTTCCAAATAAGATCTGAATAAATGAGTTTATCGTCTTTGAACATCATTTCATTTCTCAACAACCAAAAACTTCAAACCACTGCAAACCATATGGTCCCAACTTGACTCTTCTTGGCATTATTCCTTTTGAAGTGAAGCGCCCAAAGCATGAAATGGACGTGAACGTCAGCAACCTAAAAATCCTCTATCCCAACCTAAACCAACATCTCATGCCATACCTTCTTGGTGATGGGACAAAAAAGAAAGAAATGAAGTAATGACTCCGGTTCAGCAATACAGAAAGAACAAAGAACCCAGTTTTCTGCAACGATTTTGTGATGCTAAAGTTAAATTTTAGTTAGGAGTCTGTCAAGAAAACATCTTCATCCAAAAGCTCGTATTCTGAACCGAATAGACAACCTCTAGAGCACCGCGAAACAGTTCATGTTATCATCGACAAAAGGAACCAAATGCAGAGTTGAACCAAGTAAAGCATAACCTGAACTTGTCAAATAACCGACATCCTGTTTCCCTTGAAAAATGGAAAATAATCGCTGATCTTCCAAATCTAACTTTGGTGACTCACAGGATCGATCAGATTGATCCTAGGACACGTGCTAAAGATTAATGTTTTGAAATTTATCTAAGTTACACATTTCGACAGTGTTTGAGTAAAAGACTTTAATCATAAAAGTAATGGTTCGACTGAGGCGAAAGAAGAAGATAGAAATTAGAGGGAAGGGAAGTAGAGATCTTAGAAAAAAGTTTAGGACGAAGATAAAGTAAAGTGCATAGAAGGGGGTATATTATAGAAAAAGTAAAGGAAAGTTTTGTAAAGTTAAGCAAGTAAATTAAACTTTATTGAAAGTAAAGATGGTGTGTTTACATCACGTACATTCTCCTTGAACTCGTTTCTCTACACACGGGTACTTTGAGTAAATTTGGGAGTGACTTGTACAAATAGTGAATTACAACACACTGGATTCTATGTCTAAGACTCATATTTATAATAATAATAATAATAACTACCAATAATCTCCTAAGGTCATCAGCTTCCGACAAGTGTCACAATGCATGAAGTCCTTTGTCAAACGAATGACACTTGTCCCTCTTAGTCATAAGAAAGCATAACTACTCCCTCCATTATTTGAATTCCAAAAACTTCATTATTCTCCAGCCAGTATCTCGGTCGAAGGCCACCTTCCTTAAGGTTCAGAATTTTCTCTAAGTCCCACAATATTTGACTTTCCAATCGAAGGCCTCATGCCTCGAAACCTTTTAAAGACTTCAATATTTATTTCAATATTTTAATCCATATATATGTGACGCGTCGAATTTGTGAGCTAACAAATTGCCCCCCAAAAATGTCTTTTTCGACCTTTGTATAGAAAAAGAACCATTTTTGACAGCGTCCAATTCAACGTCGTCATTTCGACCTTCCCACAAGTATCAATGTGATTGACCACTTGGGTCTGGGAGACAAGAAATGAAAAGAAAAGAAAAAGTAGGAAACTATTCCGCTATCCCCGTGCATGTCCCTAACGTCATGGGTCATTATGGCAGATTTCTTGGAACTCACAAAAAATCCTCAGACCATCATCATCCTTTTTAGGGCCTAAGACAATCATGGGTATAGGTAGTAACTACCACCGCACCATCTTATTATCTTGGGACAACATGTGGCCCATTATCTCTAGCCACTAATGATGAAATAAAAAAGACTCTTGATCTCCAAACACCCTATAAATAAGTCCTCAGAAATCATTTCCAACTTTTCCACTCTTCAGCAAATACTCACGTATTCTTTCAGACATTTCCTAACTCTCCAAACCCATTTCTTCCCAAAACTTCATCAATGGCATCATCTATGGCTGGAAACCAAGCTCAAAAGAAGAAGTCACAAATCAAAGGACAATCTGTTGCACCGCTCCTTCCTCCTTTCGCCACATTGAATGGACCAAAAACAGTGAAGAATCAACAGTTCATCCCTAAACCCTTACTTGAAGAGAAGAGGCATATCTACGAATCCCAGGTAATAATTCTTGTTACTATTGCAGGTAAACCTTTGGCTATGTCTGGTCCGTTGTCTCCATTGGGTTTCAACTATTCCAACCTAAGTGACTTTTTCCCTTCCTACCGTAAGACCAAACCCTTAGGGCAAAAAGATTCCAGCAAGCTTCCTGCTGAAGGCCCAGATAATTTAGCATCCTACAATGTAGACCTAAAATACCTTAACAATAGAGCTAGGTTGTTTTGAGTCACCCCCTACTTCAAGGATTCTGATTTTTACTTAAACTGGATGGCGAAGATGGAGAAAGTTAAAGCCAACGACTGGAAAGAAACTGACATCTATGATTTGATCATGATGTCGAAGGTCGACCCAACTTACTGCCCTCTCATGTTGGCTTCTTCATTGTACTTTTGGAACAGCACCCATTATACTTTCCATCTCCCATGTGGGATGATGACACCAACACTCTTCGACATAGCAGATATCACAGGGTTGAAACCCCATGGACTGGTTTATGACCCCGAGATCGATTGCCAAGACACCACAGTCGACACTGAAGAGCATATAGCCTTTTTAGCCATGTGGTTGTCTCGTTGTGTCTTCTATACAAAATCTTTGCAGGTGGCGTGGAAGTACCTTACTCTGGCCAATCAACTACATCTGAGTCGAGACATCTGTTTAAGTGAGATGATTCTGGCCAGTCTTTATGAAGCTTTAAGCGAAGGTGCTGGCAGGTTGAAAGACAAGGAAAACCGTGGGAACCTGTTACTATCAGGCCCTTTCTAGTTACTCCAATTGTGGCTCAATGCCACTTTCGAAACCAGCCTCCCAAACAAAGGAGAAGTTGACGAAGAGTCGTCCTCTGTTGTCAAAAGACAAGTCGGATGGCCTCGACTGGTTCAACTTACCCCAAGTGAAGAAGGACATACGCTCAGAGCCAATATTTCAATTTTCATTCAGATGTTCGCCAAGCGTCATGAATTTACTCCAAGGATGGCTCCATTTTCAGAGAGGAAGTATGGTCCTGAATGGTTCACCAGACCTTTCCCTCATTTGCTTAAAAAACAAGAAGAATAGTTGAAACTGGTCTGGGAGAGATTTCTGACGCCTCGACTAATAATCCACAGACTCAACCTTCTCAGAGGTCAAGCATCTTTTGTGGCCTATCAGCCCAACCTAGTATCACGACAATTTGGGTTGATTCAAACCTTGCCTAAATGCTTATATGATAAAAAGGCCCATGTTATCCTTCCCCTCACTGCCTTCAATCCTGTTGAATGTTCGATACACTTAGCTCGACATGATCACAAGTCCCTCTTAACACCCATTCATTTTGAACCTTCTTATTTCTGCTCTCAAGAATTCTACAACTGGTGGTCCAGACACTACACCTCATAATTTCTTAATATTTCAAGCTTTGTTTGCTTGATTGACCAAGCTTCCATTGATGTTCAGGAGAAGACCAAGAAAGGTACATCTACACATATCAAAGAAATTCAAGCCTTCCAGAAGCACTTTAAAACCGTTTATCGACCAGATGATGTTAGTCGAACCATCTGTGAGGCTGCTGTCACATTGAAGGAAAAGTTTTCAAAGAAAATGGAGAATTTAAAAACCCCTTCATATGTTCCCCGTGAGAAACGGTATGAGGTAGATTTTGCTTTATTTCCTCCAAAGATCCCTCGATTGGCAACTGCTGATTTTGGAGTGGCTCTTGCCCCTCCATTTCCAGATTGGTTCATTTGTGGAGATTCCATAAAAATCCTTCGACAACAGTCGAGACCGAAAGCACAACGAGTGGTTTCGACTAAACGTACTGTTGCATCCCAAAATTTGACCAACAATTATTTACCCATCAAGTGTTTGAAGGTTGATACCTTCATCAGAAAGTTCAAGAGATCCTCAGAAGAGTTGGTTGAAACCAAGGTTGTGTGCTTCATAACTTGAGAGTTGTGGGTGCTCCTCAGATGATTCTGAGACTTTGAGAATAGACTTGAAGCTTTGAGAAAGCCTATGAGATGTATTGAAAGCCATCATGAAGCCCAGAGAGGTCATTATGCAAGAATTCAGAAGATTCAACCATGAATGGTGAAATTAGGGTTTTGACTGGGTCAACCCTAGGTCAACTGATGATTTGGAGAAGGTTGAGACCTAATCCAAAAGCCATGAGATCATGGAATGATGTATTGAGATACTACAAGGATGATTCCTAGACCAACTCATCATGATTGAGGAGTTTGAGAAGTTTTAAGCTAGGGTTTCTAAGGATTGTCAGTGTAAAACCCCCTAGTTTGATTCCTATCTTCCAGGAAGTTTTAGCTCAAGATGTGATTGTCAT